GCTTCATAGCCCAGAGAACATCCTCCAACACATTAAACACCAAATGTTTTGAGTCAAATTCAAATTCATTAAAAAGTAGTTTATTGAAAAACAGCACATTTAACGATCACATCTTTTCAGACAGTACGAACTGAGATCAACACAGGTGGAAGGACCCAGAGAGAAATGTGACAGACAGTAGAGCAAAAATGTTTCTAGTTTAGTGATCCTGGTGTTTCCCACTTTCATTTAAAAAACAAATGTACAGAGTTTAGAAAATAATTACTTCATAAACTAAAATTTCACAGATACCATTTTAAATATCAACAGTTTATTCAAAGAAACAACTAAAAATGTGATGATTTGAGATGGAATGAAGCAGCTCAACGAGTCAGAGCTGTCATTTGTTTGATTTCCTAATGTTACATAATGCTTCATATTGGCGTTTAATTTCATCATACAAACAGCTGTATTAGTTACATAACATCTCATTACGCCTCCATTTCCGTAACACTTATGTAAACATAATAAACTAGACAAAAAGAACTTTATTATAAATATAGCTAAATTAGCGACAAGGTGGAGCGGTGGTTAGCATCGTTGCCTCACAGCTAGAAGGTCGCCGGTTTGCGTCCTGGTGAGGACACCCAGGATCTTTGTGCATGTTCTCCCCGTGCAGCGTGGGTTCTCTCCAGGTTCTCCGGCTTCCTCCCTCACACTCCAAAAACATGTTGAGGTTAATTGTTGATTCTAAATAGGTGTGAATGTAAGTGTAATGGATAGCTAAATCAAAACCTTCATATAAACCTTCATACTGTACATTCTCATTCCAAAGTGCTACAAACAGGTTTCGGTGGAGCGTCTCTTCACACCATCGTGCCTCGCTCGTATCTTCTCCTCAGCACATTTGGAAACATGAAGTCATCATGGTTATCGGGCTCATCATCTGCGACCTGAGTGGAATTCAGATAATTATCATTTATAAACTATCACACCTCGAGAAAGAACTCGGCACTAATGATTCCAATCGTCCTAACCGCAGTGTAAACCGGGTACACTGGACAAACAAGTTGCTGCAAAACTAGTTTGGCGTAGATTTTTAATGGCAGCATGTTGCCGTCGGCTACATGCTAATTGGCCCTTCCTCTGCTCCCACTCACTGTGCTCTTACTGCATCAATAAAATAAAACTGTCAGCTGAGGAATCATTTCACATAAAGAGTACATTCAGAACACATGCGGCATCCTGCAATTATCATTTGATTTACATTAGCAGCAGCAGACAGATGCACGTATTTTCCTTGCATTTATTTCATCATCATGCATCTTTGAGAATATTGATGAATCTGGAAGACAAGCTGACAGGTTTTTTCTCTGCCTACTTTAAAGTACAAAATGCAAATTTTAAAACGTAAAGCAGGACCGACATTAGTCATAATAATAATAATAATAATTCATTGTATTTGTATAGCGGTTTCAAAAACTCAAAGATGCTTTACAGGATAAAAGAACAACAAAAGCAACTGATACAGAAGTAGACTACGCAGAGATACAAGCAAGCAGATTAAAACAACACAAGATATCAAGATAGAGGTTTAAGTGAGAAAAGCAGAGTGAAACAGGTGAGTTTTTAGTTTGGATTTGAAAGTTACTGGGTCTGTGGTGTCACGGATGTGTTGTGGGAGAGAGTTCCAGAGGATCAGTGACAGAGAAGACCCTATCCCCCCAGTGTGGTCCTGGTAGTCGTGTTAGTAGCTGTACAGTCTCCTCTAGTTATCGTAGTGTGATCTTTTACTCATACATACCTCTTGGACTTGCTGTCTTTGTTTTTCAGAAATGGACTCTGTGTCCAGAAAGGCCACATAATGAATCAACGTGTTCGCTCTGGAACAACACACAGCACAGTGGGATTACATTAAAAACGATGGACTTCAGACGTTGCTGATTAAAGACATGTTCTCTGACTTCCTACCTGTGGTAGAGCATGGCGAAGAACTGGATGACGACCAGCAATGCGAAAGCCAGAATGAACATGATTCCCACCGGATCGATGTAAATGTACTCTCCGGTGAACTGCAGGTTGGTGTCGAGTTTGGGCACCTGGATGCTGACGCTGTCCACCAGCTGCAGGACGAAGGTTGTTACCAGCCAGAAGGCGTTGCACATGAAGTAGGCAAAGGTGATCTGTAAAACGGCAGAAACAAACATGGATTAACGTATATTTCTAATTACTGATCATTACTTGGAGCATCACTGTGAGGTTCTGTGGTTACCTTGCTTCTCAGGTCCTTAAGTTTCTTTGCCATTTCCTTCTGTTTCTTCTTGTTCTCAGGCAGAGGCTCCAGATATGTGGTTATCAGCTCTCTGAAGAACTGCTCCTCATGCTGCAGAGACATTCAGAAAATGTGTGTCATGAAGAAGAAAAAAGAGCTTTTTATGCTGTAGCTTTATTGGCCTGGACACGTCAAAATCCCACATTATGTATGAAGGACAGATGTAGGCCTGGATCCAGAGTTTTGAGAGTTAACTTCTTGTTCTCTTAAGAAAGTGAATGTGGTCACCAAACAGTGTGTCACCATGGGTTTAATAAATACAGTACACAACATAGAGTCATGTTCACCGTCTGAACCACAAAACCAACTGGGAGGTTTGACAGGCACTTTATCTTAAACGAACTTCTCATTGTAACTATGAAGACCTTAATGACGCAGTTATAGCCAACAGTGACATTACAAATGTTCAGGGACTACTGGGCTGAACTGCAGGCTGTGTTTACGCAGAGCATTTGGGAGACGAGTCTAGAAACAAATAAAAATTCAAGTAGTCAAATATCTTCAGTATGTAGAGCCCTGTTTTTTCCCGGTGTTGGTAACAGCAATAAAATAAACAACCAAGGAAATTAAACTTTCTTGTGTTAATAAGACAATAAGGTTTGTGAGACTGTTTTGCTCACAGTCAATAAGAATCATGGTGAACAGAAAATCACACACACCTGGTCCAGCGTGTCCTCCTGCAGGTGCATGTCATCAGACAGACTCTGCAGCTGTGAGATCCAACCTGAACAAAACAGAGAACACCATTAAGTTTTAGAGTGTGTGGACGTTTTCGCAGCAGAATAGCAGATTATTATTATTATTTTTTTGCCTCATATTAGTACTTACATTGGTTAGGACAGTCAAAAATAGGCTCCTCTTGCCTGAAACATTGTAAGAAATAAAAGTTAGAAATAAAACATGATGCTGGACATTATTTAGAGTTTCCACATCATAGAGTTCTTTGTTGTTTGTTTCTCTATGATTCTACTTGATCAGCTGTTTGCATTGAGAGGTCTGGTGTTCCCTTCCCTCCACACATGCACTGTAACAAAGTCCAGTTGTTTAACACTATTTTTTTATTTATCTATTTTTAAACAATTTAGTATTCCATGTGACAGATTTTCCCTGTTGTGTGAAACTACAAATAATGTCTCATAAAGTCACAGAATAAAATATTAACTTACATGTTAACTGTATAAAGAAAAAAAAAGGTTTTTCATATCCATGTCACATGTCTGCATTTTTATAAAAAGTAATTAATTCTTTTATCACATTCAACTGTAAAATTGCTTCTTTTTTTTTAAATCAGCAAAAAGATAGATTGATTTTAGAGATCTTTACTGTTATTTGAAAAATTATGTGTCATAAGGTTGGTAGATTTTAAAATATTTTTCTATGTATTATTACAAATGTTTTGTTTTTTTTCACCATTTGACTGTAAAATCCTGCTATTTTTTCTTTATTTCTTTATTTATTTCTTTTTACTGTATTTTAACCTCCAAAAAATACACAATATAATTATTTTACAGATATTTGCTGGTTATTGTATTTTTGTGCATATTTTGAAATGTAGAAGCCACTAGAGACAAAAAAAATGATTATTTAAATATACACCAGAAGACCAGTGTTTGGGTTCTCACCTCTGCTCCTCCTCAGGGTTCCTCACGTCCTCCACAGTCGTGTTCTGAGGCTCAGGTTCCTGCTCGACCTCCTGGTCCTCCAGCAGCTCCTCGGTGTGTTCTCTCCAACAAGGCTTTCCGCAGCATTTGGCCCGCGAGAAGAACTTTGTGATTTTGCTTTTGGCTGAAAGGGTGAGAATTGGCTTCAGTGTAAGAATAACAAGTTAAGCAGCAGTTTTAATTAATTAAACGGTCCACTGATTTTTTTGGTGGTTTGTGATTTAGACTCTTAATGGACATTTTAACCGCTAACTCCCCAGAACACTCAGAAAAATGAAGGTGCTAACTGGAACCAAAAATGGTTCTTTGCACTGATGCAGTTGAAGAAGCATTTTAGTTCCACAAAGAACCATTTAGCAAGAGGTTCTTTAAAAAAGTCTCAAACTGTCTCATGGAACGACTAAAACAATGATTCCTCGAGGCACCATAAATGGTGACCTTTGACTCTTCTGGTTCTATTTTGACATCTTGATAATTGTTAAAGTAATTTTTTTAAGCAAGAAATTCACTTGTAAGAATGTTAGATGGGTTCTGGACTGTTGATCAGACAGAACAAGATATGTAATATATGCAAGAACAGATAAGTCCATCTTCACAAACCTTCAGAAAACCCACTTTTCCCTCATTTATATGAGCCAACATCAGTCAAGCTTAAGTTCTCTCTATTCTTGTCATGTCATTTTTTGCAAACAGCAACTAAAAAGTTGTCTAAAAATCTACAAAAATGGAATTTTCTGCTATTGCAAATGAACTCGCTAGCTTGGGATTTGGGAAACAGTGCTGGACATTTGTCCCTGTTTTTGACATTTTAGACCAGATGATTAAATGAGAATGAAAGTGATTTTTTTTTATCTGTGGCTCATTTACAGCTATTACCTGCTATCGAACCAAATAACCTAAAAGAAAAACATAAATTTTTTTTTTTTTTAAAAACACATAAAATGCATTAAGAACCATCCCCTAATTGGTGAAGAGTTGTTGAAGGCACCTTAAAGAACCAGAGCTATCTGAAGAGCCGAGAACTTAATTATTTTTTTTTGCACAGGTAATGCTCTCTGGATGTTTTTAGTGAAAACAAATGCACATAAAATCGTACAACAACTGCACAGAAGTTTACCTACAAGTGATGCGGGAACACCAGTATGACTAAACATGTGAAATGTATGTAAAACCTTCAACATCATGGGCTCTAAATTGTAAATTCTGTAAATTCAAGCAAGGTATGTACCTTTCTGGAGGGTAGTCTGAGGGGCAGCGGCGGCTGGTTTGGCGGCTCCAGGAGGGGGCGCTGTCTCCCTGGTGCCCCAGGACACATTGTTCATGTTGACCATGGAGTAAATAGCCAGAAGGAGGTAGGCGCTGGGGATACAGATGATGTAAAGGAAGCCGTAGATCACCACACCAACCTCCTGAGGGTGCAGCAGCGCAGTGACGGTGTAGAAGCACATCAGAGCAATGAGGAAGATGCTGCTGGGAGTCAGGATGGTTTGGTCCTTGATCATGTTGCCTGATGGAGGATAAACAGATAGGAAAGGTGATTCAAAAGGGAGAAGCTACATAGTTTTAACAGAACATCTCGACTGTCAAAGTTGTCTTACCTATTACAACGATCGCTGCTATCATCATGATGAAGGCGTACAGGGTGCTCATGACTGCTGCAATGATGATCTGAGTGTCTGACTTGATCTTGAAACTGATGCCGAGGATGATGGCAGGAGGAATCACAGCCAGAACCAGAGCAGCGTTGGGGTGGATGTCCAGCAGCACGGTCAGACAACCTGACAGAATGATTCAAACAGTCGAGCTCAGCCACCTTCACCTCACTTACCAAACCCCAAACGTATTCATCAGCTTGGGTGATAAATAATAAAACAAAAACACAGATTCAGATGGGATTTAGAATTAGAGATGTCCCAACCTGATCCCAAAAACCATCATCAGGCCGATTAAGGCATTTTAATTGATCGGTGTCAGAACAAACCAAAGCCAGATGCTTTTATTTATTTATTTAAAACATCTGCTGTCACAAAGGTGTTGTAAAGGCAGGGGCCACTTGTGGCAAGATGCCAGGGATGCAAATTTAAAAAGAAAGAAAACTATTCACAGTGGACATTAGTCATGTGCTGAAGTTGCTGTTCCAGTAAACAAATAAGTTCTGGCCTTGGCTCTGTAACATATGCCAATAAGATTTTGGAACACTTATCCTACTTTGTTCCAAACACACGAGTACTGAGTGGATTACATGAAGCATCACGGAAGTCTTTGTCATGGTGGCCCATTGGTACCTAAACGCCTACAATGCTAACACACAGCTGCATGTGGTCTAGTGACTGCGTCCTCTGGTCGCTACAGTAATAGAGACTGGAACAACCAGGTACCACAGCTCATGTACGATAAACTTTCTGACATTCAGGTAGAAAATATAGGTTTTCACCATCTTTTGTAGCTGATAGCGCTACAGCACACCCTACCCTCTAACACTCAGACAGTGCCACTCGAGGCTTTACAACAAAGTTCATGACAGTGTTTCGGTATCAGATTGGAACTGATACGATATGAAATGACAAAAACAAAAACTCGACTGGGACCTCCTTGTTGTCCCTATTTAATTCACTGATTTGAATAAAAGTTTTACAATATTCTTGTATGCATTTAGAAATGTTTGCATAGCAATTATACCTATTAGCACAAAATTACGCCTCACCTGCAATCATAAGGACGACAGTGGAGGGTGAGAGTATGGAAGAGGCCAAGCTGAAGAGCTGGTAGAGCATGTAGGGTCTGGACATGGACGGGTTCCTGTTGGTAATCAGGGTGGTGTCGCCCAACAAGTCTACGATGTTGGCCATCGTGGACGGTCCCCATCGACGACGCTGAGGACGGCAAGCACATGTTTAAACATTAGACAGGGCGGCCACAATGTCGGAATATTTCTGCAGCTTGACTTTGCGCAAACTGTCAAACGACCAACAAAACTGGTTCCAATAGTACAGCGAGAAACACATCTGACAACACATGCCAATCACTGACGACCAGACCAGCTGTACATCAACATCGAAGCATCGAAATGTGTGTCTGTTGTAATGACCTGGTTGTAAAACTCTTTAAACTCCTCTGGTGCGTTGGTGTAGGCGTCAGAGGCGGCGTTGTACTCCACCCTCCATCCCTGCTTCAGCAGCAGCGTGCACAGCCAGCGGTCCTCACCTGCAGCAAGATTAAAGACACACGATGAGAGAAAAAGCAGAAAATTCTGATAATTTGATGGAATAAGGGACAATTAGTCTGTTTGAGGAAATGTCAAGCCAGAATTTTAACTACAACAACAACAACAACAACAACAGGCTGCTGACTTTGAAAAAGATCAATATTGTGCATATTTATACACATCAGATTAAACCACAGAGATATTGTTTAATGTTCATGCATTGTGATATAATTACTATTTTTAAAAATACAAATTTTGGATGTAGACATGATGTAATGATGCAATTTTGGCCTGTTTATTTTTATTTTTTTTCAGTCAACATGCAAATTAGTACTTTACTAGATAGTACCAGATGAATTTACGTGATATTATCTGTAATTCAACAAAACAGGGAAAGGCTGTGAAATAGCATTTAAAACAATATTTATTTGTTTATTTATTTATTTGTAATCAACCAACTTTTGTTTTGAAATAAGGGTAAATATCTGTAAAACAGCAATATAGTGTAAAAAAAAAAGGTGCAATTTTGTAATAAAATATTATAAAATAACGTTATAAAATGTTATAATAACATGTAAAATAATACTTTTTTAAAAATTCTTATTTTTATTTTTTAAGGGAAAAGCTGTGAAATAGCATTTGAATTTTAAAAAAAAATTATTTTAAGAATTTGTAGTACACCTAACGTTTGTTTTGGAATAAGGGTAATTATCAGTAAAATAGCATTATACTGTAAAAATAGTGCAATTATGTGATCTAACACTATATAAGAATGAATGTGTAAAAATATGGATTTTTGATGTAGATGTTGTTTCTTATTTTTTTAGAATATTTTTTTTCACAGTTAACGTGTGAATATTTTTAAAAATTGGATTTTGTTCAGTAATATCTGCAATTTAAAACACCAGTGAAGTGATTTAAAAATTTAAAACAAACATTTCTTTTTACAGTGTAGATGTGACGTATGATGCAATACAAAGCCAAGAACTTTTTCCGTCACCTTGGTCGTACTGGATGTAGTGTTGAGCCTCGGAGGCCTTGATGGTGTATTTTTTCATCACGTTGTCGTCCATCAGCGCTGAAGCCCTGAACAGGCTGAAGCATCCAGGACTGCAGAGAACACAGCCGAACACGTGCTCGGCTGTTTTGTGCAGCCAGTGACCCACAGCGTATTCAAACTTCTGGTACCAAACCATCGGACCTGACAGGGAAACAACTCGCTGTTACTACAAACACAACAACCTGCTACTGTGCTGTTTGTCTGTGAGTCACCTGTTCAATAAAATCAATTCATCAATAAATCTGAGAGGAGAAAAATGCACGCTTTAGTCAAACACTCTGGAAAAAAAGAATCTGTAATTTTATGGAGTTTTTCATTTTTATGTTGTATTTCTTTGTCTTTTTTAAATTCACAATAATATCAGTAGAATCAGAAAAATGCACTGAATATATATGTATAATGTCAAATAACATCAGGAACTTGTAAGTTAGAATAAGCACAAAAACCTCTGTTTTTTAAAGATATGTATATTTTTTTTTTACAAACAGACTTAAAATACATTCACAAATATGTTGTAATTAGTAGATAAAGCTGTTAAATGTAAGCTTAATACTGTAAATATAATTATAAAATTTGATGAAATTGCTGATAATTAACAGAAAAAAACAGAATTAGTTGTGTAATTTTATATAGATTTCTTTGTAAAATGAGTGATATCTTGTAAAATTTAAGAGTACATTTACAGCAGTGGATATCTTCCAGTTTTTATCATTAAATATACTATCTGTCTATCAATCTATCTATCTGACTAAATGCTGTATATATTTATATTGCAGGATGTTTTTTGTTTTTACCCATCTGAATATCATCTGATAATTCATGAGACATCATAAAGCCAAATAACCCACGATTTCATGTAACATCTAAGCTAAAAATGTACTTTAATTATTGAAAATTACTGTATGAGGTTATGAGACGGTTATTTTCCTTTATTTTAAAGTTTTTTTTTTGGTGCCTCAGCTGCTGGAATATTTCAATTTTAGTTCTTATATACAACTGCAAGTGTAGTCTATTAGTCATTTAGATGGTAGCTGGTGTTATTGATCAGTATTTGTAGCTGGCCTGATTTCAAACCAGTTGTCAGCCTCTGTTCCTCTGCTGACTGTAACCCACCTGACCCGGTCGGGTGAATCCGGCCGCACGCTGCCCCGACCCGAGGATACAGCTTCAGACGGTCGATGAGCAGCATCACAGCAGCCGGCTGGAAGTCAGTGTCTCCGTCTAAAGCCAGGAGGTAGGTGTTGTGCTTCTCTTTCTGGAGGAGGACACATCGATCATGTTGTTATACGTTGAACTCAAATGTAGAGGACATACCCTCGACACAGTCTGTAAGTTTCTTCACTCTTACCTCAAACTGTCTCATCAGCTCAGGCTCCTCCCCTCCTTTCTCCCAACTTTGGAAATACTTGGTTGAAACTTTCCAGCCGAGGAGGTAGTACAAATACATGACCTGGAAAATAACCATTAATAGTCAGCAATCAGGCAGAAATGCAACCGAAAACTATGTTTACATAGAACTACAAAGAACTTTCAACAGGTTGACGTGAGACATGGGAGGTAAGAAGAATATCTGAAATCCATTTTATGTGGCTATCACCTGATACAATGAATTGGAATCCAATATTTTAGGCTACAAAATGTTTTAACCAAGATTGAAATGAATCAGGAGCGCATCATCTTCCCACCTGGGACCATCTCTTCTTGTGACGGATGAGTTGTTTATCCTTGAAATGTACCACCAGGCTGGTTCCGTAAGGCATTCTGACGACCACTCGCCCTCCGTACGGCGTCCTCACCAACTTCTGATCAGGAATCTGCTGCTGCTCGTTGAAGATGTCTTTGTCGATGTTCACAAAGATGCTGACAACAGGACGAAACACGCTTCAGCTCTACGTCAGGTGATAATGTGGAGTCATGTTTCTGGACATTAACTGGCCACAACTGCTTACCTGTAAACTTCTCTGATGATGTCCACAAGCATCTCTGCGTATTCGTTAACGTGGCGTCCTTGACTCCCGGGAACATCTCTGAAGGCGTCGTCGAAGTAGATGTGGCCTTCAAAAGTCACATCTCTCGTTGCGTCTTCAGTTTGAGGCCGGTACTTGTCCAGTCTGAGGAGTCACACAAAGACAAAACCATGAGACTGGTAATGAAGCCAAACACAACGAGCAACAGTCAAAAAGCGAGCTCATGTGAAACTTACCGGAATATTGAAATGATTATCTTCATCATCTCATCGTAGGTTTCGTGCCACATCGTTGCGCAGAGGAACACTTTGACCGGCTCCAGTGGTGTAAATCTAGAAATGACGAGATAATTATGTGGGAAAAAAAAGACGAATGTAAAAGAAGCTCCACAGAATGAGTGAGGCTGTATTTGTAAAATATGATTAAATGAATGTCACTTCAACAATTTTTAGTAGTCTTAACCCTGGTCTAAAAGTAACCCAAACTCAGAGTTTATTTTGCAAAGCTTAAACTTTAGACCTCAGTTTGTAGGGTACTGCTCATCTCCTCACCCACACTTACTGTTTCGAAAGTTTGACGATTTTCTGAATGTCGAATCGAACGTTGAGCAGCAGCGATTGCTCTAAAAATCCTCCCTCATAAAACCTCCCGATGAACAGGTCCTGGGTCCTCTGGATGCGATACAGACTGAGGTACCACAGGTGGACGGTGGCCAACGTGAGGCCGAGCCACCAGGACACTGCTAAACCTAAAGGGAAGATAAATAAATACATTGAGTTAAATTCCACCCTTATGTATGTGGCCTGGATGATTTGCGTACAACCCCTCTTAACTTTACATTTATACAATTTAGCTGTGAGAAAACATTCTGAACAGATGCTAAGCTCACGCCTGAGTTATCTCCTAGTGTCTGTTGTCATTTGGTAGCTTTAGTTCATTACCTGTCAGCATGCCGATGTCAAAGATCGTGGACATGTCCAGGAAGCACAAAGTGTGTGTAACGTCCAAAACCAGATCTGGAAACACGCTGCCGTTCGCACTTTGGCTTCTTCCATCCACGACTAAGTTACAGTAGCCTGTAAAGTTGATGCTCTCAGTCCCACTGAGGCTTAATTTGTAGTCCTGATAGTAAACAATGACGGGGATGACGAACAGGGCCATCACAGCCAGAGAGGCCAGGTACAAGGGCAGGATGAAGCACCGTCGCAGGGCGTGCATCTTGCAAGCTGCCAATGCAAACCAGTGGCAGAGTGCTGAAGAGATCAGCTGGACCCCAATGATGATGGCTATGATCCTGGTCTCACGACTCGGGATGGAGGTCACAACGTCCCAATCCATGTTGGCCAGAGGGACGTAGGCTCCGAGCACACAGGCAGTCACCGCGATCCTGAGCACGCTGGAGAAGATGTGCAGCATGTTCTGGCACTTTGCTATGTCTTTGCACAGGATCTTGAGGAAGATGGAGTTTGTGTTCTCACAGATCACCCTGAAGTAGTTCTCCCACCAGTTCAAAGACACCAAGAAGACCCCACCAACAGCTAGACCCACCCAAATGGCCATCTGGGTGTCAGTGGGATCTTTGGTGATGTACAAGACGAGGAACAGGATGAAACCGAGCAGAATGAGGATGAAGGCGGTGATGGAAGGCAGCAGAAATCGATTCCTTTCCTTGGCAGTACACTGAGCGACTATCTGCAGGACAGCAGGGAAGATAGCTACGCTGCTCAGTATCGTCACGTTGGTCACAATGTCTAAGTGTGGCATTGCCACGATGGTGAGAATTGCTGCACCCACTGACACTAGAAACTCCAAGAACAGAACCTGAAAAGGAAGCAACAGAAAGAAATTTGACAACACTACAAAAAAATTCTTTCAGGTTACTTACAATTTACATTTTCTTATGTGCATTTGTAAAAGTAATGGAAGCAGCAGTCACTTCCACCAGGGAGGTGGAAGAAATTAAGAAATCTTATCAGGGTCCTCACCAAAGCTACAGTTGTTTTATCTGGCAGCTTTGAAGTTTTGTAACACGCCTTCCAGATGCTCTTCAGTAAGAGAAGGACACTGGGGGCAATAATAGCGCAGCCGATGCACAACAAAGCGACGGGTTTCTGCTCATCCAGGAGGATCTTGGTGCCTTCATTGGCCAAAGTGATCAGGAGAAGGAAAGATGTCTGGAGTAAAGGACACATTGGAGACAAGATCGATATGTGAGTGCTTTGCAGATGAAAACATTAAAGCTTTGGATCATGTTAAAGTGGCTGATTTGTAAATTAAATGTCAATGTTAAATGAAATTTAAAATATAGTCCCCATGCCACAACAATAATCATTTCTTTAGACTAATAAAATGATTTTTCTTTTAAAGTTAAAAACTACACATACTGTTGTGTAGTAAATTTTAATTTACTTAATATGTGCAGCAATAACTAAATAGTTCACAGCATAAGATTTATATTCTTTTTGTAAGATATATATATATATCTTTTTTAAGCTAGACCCCAACGATGCTCTCTGCTTGTCAACACATCACTGCTAGTATTAAACAGTGAGATCTGGTGGTGCAACAAGGTACTACAGCTAATCTGCAACATTTGAAGTGTGTTTTGTCTATGAAATACAACAGACCTTGCTACAAAACGCCAACCCAAACACAAACAGAGCGACGACGCAGAGGGCGATGACCCTCAGCAGCTTGATCATTTTCCAGGGGGTTTGTTCATCTTCAATGATGGGGACCTCTCGACAGGTGTCCCACGGCCTCCTGAATATACACAATAAAGTGTTAAACTCTGAATATAGGGAAGAAATAATACTAAAGGTATTCAAACCTTTGCAGTGGCTGCTCCTACCATCTGGGACAGTTTGTCTTTTCACGGAAGAACTGCTCAGACATTAGAAATGTTTGAGTCGCTGCTGAAGACACAACTCCTCTCATTGGCCTTTGGGCTTGTAATAACGCTAATTAATAATTTTACACATCATGATTTTGTAGAGCATTTAACTTGGGGGTTTTGTTGTCAAAATATATAAAATTAGGCATGTAGAAAACTAGTACTTACATGTTCTAACGTGATAGCTTACACTTTCATAGCTAGCATCTGGCCAAGGGTTTGATCTTGTTCATAGTGACGTCATCAGTAAGCTTGAAATAACCCTATATGATTCAAACATTATTTAATTCATTCGCTATCCCTTTACAACTTTGAATTGATGAGATTTTATTGTATTTAGAGGGTGTGCAGATGCTTTCTGTTGACAGTCTTTCATTTTATGATGCCAAAATGTATGACATAGTGTTGCCCTGGTGCATACCGGTCTGGTAACACGTGAGAGGCTGTGTTTCAACCCAGACCGTGATATTTTCCAAAACTTCACCAAATAGTGAATGAAGACAAAACACTAGTCTAAAAGTAATGGTCCAACATGGAACACAAACCCCAGTCTCTGAATAAAAGTCCTGCAAATGACTGGGTTTTGGCCAATAAAATAGATTACTACAGACTTCATGTACTTACTCAATAATCATGGCCTTATTTTACGAAAACATCACTAGAAGTCAGCCAGCAATAGAAAGACACACGTATATAGTTGGGACTTTGACTTAAGTTGTTGATAAAGGAATAGGACTGGACCAGTATCTGACATTCTGCAGGTCTCAGACTACAGCTGGTCTTGAGATCTGACTGACTACATGTCATGAGAAACAACCAATAAACACTGAAAGATAAATGTGAAAAGCTTCTTTTAAATAAACATATGTAAAACATAGATAATTATGTTTTGTTTTGAATCAGTTTTTTCATAGTTACATTTCAAATAGAACAGTAATCAGCCTCCTTAATTATTAACTCTGTATCTGGCACCTCTTAGCATTTACAGCTGTATGAAATAAGGAAAATTTACTTACTTTGGCAAACTCCGCTCTTTCTCCATGTTTCTGACTGTGTGCGCTTCACTCAACTGCTCCGACGTAGGCGACAATGCTCTGAGCATCCAGATGCCATCATCCTGACAGCTGACGTCCAATTATGTTCATCCTGTTTTTAAAAGCCAACACCCTAAAGCCACTGCTGCAGGTGAAATCAGGTCAGATGCAGTTAGCTGTGACCCTGTTCGCCCTTAAAAAAAAAACAAAAAACAAAAACATATATTTACAGTTTTTAACTTGGAAATTAGATTAAAATACACAATCATTTGAATGCAGAAGTTTTGTGTCAATGCCATGAGCGTCTAACAAAGTTAAAGAAGTAGGACAGTAAGGGACAAGTTCATTCAAGTTCAAGTGTTTTTTTTTTTTTTTTTTTTTTTTTTTTTTTTTTGTTTTTATCATGTTCGTCTGTGATTAAAACTCCTTTTAAAAAAAAACTTTTGAGATCATCTGAAGCTGAAAAGTTACTTGTTGCGGCAGACTTTATGGTTCAGAATCATGAAATCACATCTCAAAAACAAACTAAAAGAGTACAGTTGTCTCATTTATACATTAAACGGATATATTAAGACAAATCCTATGAAACAACAAAAACAAACTATGAAGCCGAAAATTTTTCAAGAAATGGGCGCCTTCACAAACACAAATATACTGCAGAGCTACGATTTTTTCTGACCTGAAAAATGAGATTCAGAAATGTCACATGTAAACATAATCTGTTGCAGAACTCATCTATGAAACTGCCAATAAGTTGAAATACGTTTGACCCCATCAACAGTTTTCTAAACGCACAAGCGCAACACATAGCACTGACAATATTAAAAAAAGAGTTCAAAATCTGCTTTTTGGTTTAAAATTCACATGTAAAACAGGCACGCCACACGTTTTAAACCAACATAATGGAAATAAATTGTGCTTGCAGACGTCTCACAAGTAGTTTCTGTGATGAATATCCACAATGAATTGTAAAAGTGACTTTTTTTACTTTCAGTTTTATTTTTAGTTATGTGAGCAGCCACGTGACAAGAGGCACTAAAAAACAAACAGCTGTTCAGATCTGTGAAACATTTCCAAAAATGTGGGCTCAGCCGTCAACCCTTTAATTAAGATGTCACAATTATTTGCGTGAGCAGCATCACACGCCCTCATTAACCACTGGCTTTAATCTTGACTGCTGCCTGACAAACGCAACAATGAAAAGACACACACTCACGCACAAACCATCCATCCATCATCTATACACCACTTAATCCTCACTAGGGTTGCGGGGGCGGGTGGAGTCTATCCCAGCTGACTCAGGGTGAAGGCAGGGGACACCCTGAACAGGTCGCCAGTCTATCACAGGGCCACACTTAGAGACAGACAAACAAGCACATTCACACAATTTAGAATCACCAATTAACCTTAACATGTTTTTGGACTGTGTGGGAGGAAGCCGGAGAACCTGGAGAGAACCCACGCTGCACGGGGAGAACATGCAAACTCCACGCAGAAAGATCCCGGGTGTCCTCACCGGGATGCGACCCGGCAACCTTCTAGTTGTGAGGCAACCACCGAGCACCTTGCCACACACAAACCCTTAGACAAAAAACATCTATCTATCTAACATTGTTTGAAAATTCACAAAAATATCAACAGAATTACAGAAATACTCTACATGTCTAATGTGTAACATCACCAGAAACCTTCAACTGTGAATAAACACAAAAACTTTTCCTTTTTTTAAAGAAGATAGATTTTTTTTTTTTTTGACATCAAAAGACTGTCAATCACTTCTCCTTTGCCAAGACATTCCCTCCATCTCGTCCAACTTGCGACACCCGTGGCATTGTGCTGTGTGATACCACATTTCAGAATGGCCTTTTATCGTGGCCACCAAGACACACCTGTGCATTAGTCATGCTGTCTAATCAGCATCTTGATATGCCTGTGAAGTGGATGGAGCAAAAAAAAAAAGTGTTGCGTTTATATTTTTGTTCAGACCTATCTATCTATCTGTATAATCATGTATATTTCATGTATATTGTTTATTAATTTTTTTATTTCAATTTTTCTTTTACTTATTTGTTTATTTAACTTTATTTTGCTTATAAAGCACTTTAAACAACATGTGTTTATGATAACTTGCTTTTGACAGGTTAAGAATCTGATGATCATTTATGTGCCTACAGTTTCTGACTCTGATAAATAGTGTCCTTTTTTTAGTGTTGGGGTTCAGAGGATTAAATAATGTTGCTTACTGGTAAAATTCTGATTAAAATGGTGAACTGCAAGCAGGACTGGCTGTAGACTTTTTTTTTCTACTTGAGGTTTTTGATTTGGATGGGTCACACCTTGACATTTCAACTGGACAATTAATTCTTCAGGGTGTGTTCATCTTTTATTTAAAGCAAAGATTTTATTGCACTATCACTCAGAATTGTCCATCCATCCATTATCTATACAGCGCTTAATCCTCACTAGGGTCATGGGGGGCTGGAGTCTATCCCAGCTGACTCAGGGTGAAGGCAGGTTCACCTGGACAGGTCACCAGTCTATCACAGGGCTACACTTAGAGACAGACAACCAAGCACACTCACATTCACACCTACAGACAATTTAGAATCACCAATTAACCTCAAAATGTTTTTGGACCTTGTGGGAGGAAGCTGGAGAACCTGGAGAGAACCCACGCTGCACAGAGAGAACATGGAGACTTCACGCAGAAAGATCCCGGTGCCCCCACTGGGACGCCAACTGGCGACCTTCCTGCTGCGAGGCGACAGTGCGAACCAAGTGCGCCACCATCTGCCCACTCAGAATTATACAACTGCCAATTATAATACTTCTTTTACGTCCACCTATCCGTTTTTATGCATCCTGTTGTCCTGTCCAGGACTTTCCCAGCAGACTCAGGGTTAAAGGATGGATCATTAGTCCACAGAACAATTTAGAATCACAGATGAATCTGGTGAAAACTGCCTCATCCACAGGAAGAACTTGCAAACTCCACACAGAAAGATGCCAGGATGAGATTCAAACCCAGCGGGTGATGCTGCCAACTGCTGCACCACCCTGTTGCCCTTTAACAGTCCTGTGGAACTATTTTATGAATGCATTATCAAAATTAAGCACTAGTTATGTCGACAGTTAACAAATAACCTGATCTACTGGATTCATATCGGTTGCATAACCAGCCACTATTCTGACGTTAAACATGTATTCCTTGTGTTTTTTTGGTTACTTGGTGGTTATGTAACAGGCTGGAAACACAAAACCACATCCTCACTTAACTGTGGCTACACATGAAGCAAACACAAACAGGCTTTAGCATTTATTTAGAGCCGTGTTTCTAAATCTAATATCTAGTCGTCTTTCAGTTTAGTTTTTCTCTCCACCGACTCTTTTTAAAGCTGCTACATTCTTCTTTATACTTTGGTGCTGAGCAGATGGTGCTTTGAGTTGAAAATCCCTAAAATGCCTCACAGAGCTGCAGGAAACAACAGGTTCAGTTGACAATTTTCTGTAGGTTTATCACAGCAATGGTACTGTTTACCATCACAGTCATTACAATTAATCAGTCGTTAAAAAGAAAAATTAATGCAAAACTGCATTGTCCAGTAACTCATAGGACTTTGTTTCAGTTTTTTCCCAACCTCAAAAACATTTGAAATGGCCACAAAAATGTGTTTTACCAGCAAAAAATGTCAAAAAACATCATCATTATATACATTTAACGGTGCCATTTAACAGGAATATAATACATTTTAATGGAATCCTCAATCTCTATAGGAAAAAAAAACACAAGAAAGAAACCTCAAGAAGGGAGTAGGATGGACACATGGGCAATAGATTAGGCTGTAAACACAAAGATCAGGATGCTTCCAGGTCAAACTGCTCCTTCTGAACTTTATCCCAGCAGTACACATCCAGCAATGCAAGTGATGCTGTGTTCGATGGTTGGACAATATTATTAAACTTAATACAGTTCCATCTAAACACACAAAACATGAGACCATCATGTGTCTGATCATATACATTTCTAACACCATCTGATCCATCTGTACATCTCACACTCCATTTTACTGTCACTCTTGAATAAAGTTCAGAGATATTTGAACTCACCTCCAACCCAGAGGGAGAAATTAACTGGTTTCCAGCAGAGAACCCCAGACTTTTAGGTGCTAACTTGCATCCTGGATGGTTTGCACTCAGCTGCGAAACTCCCCAGTGTTTACTAAAGGTCACGGCTCAATGAAGCAACAGCACCACATCATCTGCAAAAAACAGAGATGAAACTCTGAGCTCCATTCATTCAGTATATTTTGTGTAAACCTAACCTCCTCACATAAATTATTATCCACATGGAGAATGATAAATACGACGTACTCCCTAAATTCTTACAAAAACTACTCAAGACATGACCTCAGTCTCTGCAGTGTTTGTCAAAAAACAGTTTCTAAAGAAGAAATCTGCCGTGTCAATCTGAATGATCTCGTTTACCATGCGTCATTTAAAGTCATTCACTGCGTTGTTTTGTATTGTATTGTATGGGTGCAGTAAATCAAAAACTGAGACACCTATTGTTGCACGAAGGCTTTCATCTATGATATGCTTCTGAATGAAACCGAGCTGGTGACAGCTGTGACAAACTGCTGCTAAGGGGAGCCAACAGTGTTGTTTACGTTGTGGATTTGGCCTTGTTACTTATGTCGGCCTGCCCTAAATAATGGCCTAGATTCTTTACAAATAATAAACAAGCCAGTTGAAACTTGCCAAGGGATGGTATTGTAGGTCGGGAATGTTTAAACCTTTTTATTGTTTTTCTAGATGACATAGTTTCAATCCATGAGCCACATGAATGATGCTTTCTAACATTCTAGACATTTATCTCTTTCTGATGGCTGGTTGCATTTGCATTACTACAACATATAAAAATACACGCGTCTCTTAGATGAGCTTAAATGTCCTGAAAATGTGTTTTCTGCATGTGGACACCCATGAGGCATTTTCCACTGTAGATTTT